TATCCGTGAATATTCCAATTGAGCAACTGGTTGACCTTTATTGGCTTCCAGATTTACACTAAGATCAAGGGGTGTCCTAGACAGAGGACCTTCATAGGCATTAAATTTCTTGAGTACTTTCTCTACGTAATGAGATTGTGACAAGACAATTCCATCTTGGGTTCTGATAATTCTTATTCCAAGAATTACATCAGCTAAACCCATATCTTTCATGTCGAAATTTATTTTCAACATTCGTTTCGTATCCATGATCACGTCATGGCTACTCCCCATGATCAACATATCGTCTACATATGGACATACAATTACATATGTATTTGATGTGTTTTTAACATAAACACATTTATCACATTCGTTGATTTAAAATCCATTTGACAACATCACGTCATCAAATTTCAAATGCCATTGTTTCGGAGCTTGTTTAAGTCCGTACAAGGATTTGATCAATTTGCACACCTTTTTCTCTTGTCCAGGTGATACAAAACCTTCGAGTTGTTCCATGTAAATCTCTTCCTCTAATTCACCATTCAAAAATGCCGTTTCGACATCCATTTGATGAATCTCAAGATTGTGCAAAGCAGCAATGGAGAGCAGCACTCTAATTGACGCTATACGCGTCACATGTGAATAGATATCAAAGAAGTCGTACCCTTCTTTTTGTTTAAAGCATTTGACCACTAATCTTGCTTTAAACTTATCAATCGTTCCATCAGCTTTGTATTTTCTTATTAGGATCCATTTGCATCCTACAGATTTACAACCCGCAGGGAGATCAACCAACTCCCAAGTATGATTTTGTATAATGGACTCCATTTCGCTATTTATAGCTACTTCCCAGAGTGGTCCATCTGGGCTAGACAGAGCTTCCTTAATGGAACTCGGTTCATCGTCCAACATATATGTAATAAAATCAGGTCCAAACGTTTTTGCCGTTTTTACCCTTTTACCACGTCTCGGTTCTTCTTCTTTATCTTTAGTATCATCTGGTACAGAACCGCTAACAGTTTCATACGTCCTTTTGTTAGAACTAGATTCTGCCCTTCCCTTCAAAGGAAAAATGTTCTCGAAGAATATAACATTCCTTGACTCAATAGTGGTACCAACCGATACCTTCGGATTTTCTGATTTATGAACCAGAAATCTATATGCAGTACTATTGTATGCATATCCAATAAAAATATAATCGACCGTCTTAGGTCCGATTCTCATTTGTTTTGGTTCAGGAACTGAAACCTTAGCCAAACACCCCCACACTTTCAGGTACTTATAAGACAGCTTACAATTTTTCCACATTTCGTAAGTGTTGACGAACGTTTTCGGTCAACGGTTAAGATTAAAACTATTGAAAGCACAAG